TTTTTTTATATGTAAAAATATTTAAAATTATATTTTTATTTTGCATAGCAAAGAAATAATTTTTTTTGTGAAATATGTGCAAAAATTGTTCAAAATCCTCCAAAATATTAGCCTTTTGTTGACTTCTGTTATTTTTGTTTTGTTATGTTTGTTGTTTTTTTTTTTTTTTTGCAAAAATAAAAAATTGGTAATGTAAGTTATCCATAACCCTTTGAATTAAGCCTTTCCTTAGGTCAACTGCTAAACTTTTTCCGAACTTTTTACTGCTGTTAAGCATTATAGTCATCACCGACATAGGAATTAGTTGCAAAAGCAGAAGAAGCAACAAAAATGGCAAAAACAACATCATTACTTTGGTTGCATGCCTGGTTAAATGGACGGACGTGCACATAGCGAAGGAAACAAAGATACGAAATAGATCAAGAAACACACAAACCCTACAGTTTTACTTACTTGGAAGTTTCCTTAAGAATTTTTGCGACTTTTCTAAAGAACTTTTACTTTTTTTTTCGTCTCTTATTTATTTATTGCATATTTTTATTCAAACTACTATTATGCATTTTTGTACTTGTGGCATCACTGCTGTTGCTTGATCCTCTACACTTAATTGTTGTTGTTATTTGTAGTGGTCTTAAGAAATTTTTGGCCAACAGAAGTTTGTACACTCAGGTGTCTTTAGTGGTGTTCTAATTACTAACAAACTTAATTTTGTTACTTTTTCTAAGTTGAGAAGATATTAACAAAAAGTTGTGAGTTGTAACAAAAAAAAACAAAAAAAAAAAGAAAAAACAAAAACTATTGTAAGTATACTTTGTGGTATAAATTTTGTTTTGATTAAAATGCTTTCAATATTTTACTAATTTTATTATTTAAAATTTTGTAAAATAGTTTCTAAAATAATGTAACTCTCAGATACATTAATAAAAAGTGCATAAGTACAACTAAGCCAGTAAAAGGCAAGGTTCTTGATATATGATACACATAACGTGGTTAGTTGAGAAATTATTACTTTCGGTTTACCGCCTAAAACTATGCAAAAACTGCTTTAAATTCTGACTAGAAAGTGCTAAAGAATTTTCTTGAAATTTTCTACTCAGTGCTTAGCAATTTTGTTTGAATTTTCTCAGTGCTCAACAATTTGCCTTCATATATCCATCATATCTTATTGCCTTCTTCGCTTTTGTAAATATTTTTTACGAGTTTTTTATTAGTCTGCGTAGGTAATTGTACTCAAACAGTTTACTTAGTGCAAATACTGAGCAACAAATAAAAATCTACTAAAAAGCGTAAATGCATACGTGAGAAACTGTCTTTATTTGTTTCTGCAGCAATAATGCACACAAATAATTTATTTTAATGCTAATGCAACTCAACTGAGGAGATAACTTCGACTCTTGATATACACATTGTCATTATAGCGATACGCGTACCATAAATAATATGCATGGTTGACGTATATTTTATGTATTTACGAGTACAACATTTCTTTTTTTATTGTTTACTATATACTTGTACTATATGAGTTTTAAAAATTTTATAAAAATAATAGCAATGATTTTTTGCTTAATCCAAGTATCAGTATTACACTTCAAGGTAGTGAAAATTGGTTGCTTGCACAAGTCCTTTTGCCTACTCTCAACTTTCCATTCCAAGGCGTTTATCACTCATACGTCCAGGAGTACCATTTACAATTCGTGCAATTTCGCTATTCGCCATTGTGCAATTGCTTGACTTGTTGTTGTAGGAACTGTTAATTAGCCACTTCTTTTCAAAACCGAAATTATCATTAGAATTCATAATGATGGTGGCTCATGTTTACTTATAGTATGACATGCATAAAATCCCCAAAGTCAGGGTGAAAAAAGATGCGAATTAAATAAAAATACAAATAAAAAGTAAGCACTGTGTATAGTAGATACATATATTTGTTTATATTATGTGAGTATATAGAAAATGCAAAGCAAATAAACAGGAAACGGAAGCAGCCAAGCGCTGTAAACTTATTTTAGCTGACAATGACAATGATGCTGAGAAAAATTTGCTGCTGGCAATAATGTTGTTGACAATTTAGACCGTTGTTGTTTGGCTCCTTTATTGTTCAATTTTTTTCCCCATTATTTCATATACTTAGTATATTTGGCTGTCAACGTATGTTACCCTTGATATGAGGGAAGGTAATGCAAATGTTTTGAAAATGTAAAGAACAAAAGTCATTTTTGATTGTTGTTCTTCTCATAAATGAACATAGAAAAATTATAATTAAAATTCATAGAAATTGTGAAAAAATAGTTTTTGGCTTTTTCTTATTTTTGGTAATTTTACTTACGGGCGCATTGTTTTGGCATTTTTTTTTGTTTACTGTTTTTCTCTGCTATAAAATTTTATTATTTTAACATAATAAAATTTTAATTTTCTATTGTAATGCATAGTTCACATTACCTTTGGGAAGTTTTCTCTAAAACAAGTGCGGGCCAGATATGTCCTTTGATGTCATCCTATTAGCGGCTTTTATAATAACTTTTGAAGTAGTTCAGGTTGTACTATATGTGAGGAAATGGTAATTTAATGGTATGTTGAATTTTAATTATAAAACAAAACAATTTTTTTTAATAAAATAAATAAATTTTTGCAATAATTTTATACTTACAATTTGAAGTACTGCATTTCGTTTGCACTTTTGCTGCTACCAGAGAGTATCTGATGGGTAGCTTTCATTTATTTTACATTTATATAAATTGTTTTAATATTATTGTTTTTTTTATTAATGTTTTATAACTTGACAATTAATGTATTTTTATTGAGATATTTCGTGTATTAGCAAGCAAGACAGATTCACTCACAATATACACACAAGTTGTTATTTCTAACCTTTGCACTGGATTCATTAATTTATTTTGATAAATTGTGACTCCAATTTCCTATTCCTATTATTTGACTTAATTTTGTTAATGGTATATTTACAAATTTATTTTTCAAAGTAATACCAGTGTATTTATATACATGATTCGTCATTTCGATCGAAAATACGGATGAAATAAATTATTATTCCTTTTCCCATTACATATTATTATATACTGTGATAAATTAAAATCAATGTAATTTTTGGTTAGATTAAAATATAGGATTCTAAGTATAAACTAGCGCAACTAGGCTTATTTTAAAATATTAGTCTCTACTAAGGCTAACCGACACTTCTAATACACTGAACACTAGTAACTGAGACAGGAATCATAAAACTAGAAATAAGATCTTCTGCTCTGATATGGTTTCGTAAACCTCTGTAACCCATTAACAAATCTAATTTTCTTCAGTAGATCATAATACGTAGCATGAAAAACTGAAGCTGTGCAATGCGCTAGACAGTGACAAAGCAAGTGTAAGACACTTTCTTCGTGTCTCCCGCATTATTGCCTTATACAGGAAGATTTCAACTACTGTTGCCAAGATGCTAATAGTATGCCAAAATCTTTTAGGTGCTTCAAATAATTTCCTGATATCCTTATGGTAAGCTCGTCTGCTTTACAATTGTAGAATGTATTCCTGTGATTTTGACTCCAGATAAGAACAATATCCACTAGCGTCGACATTTCGCTTAAAGATGCGAAACAGTCAAACAAAATTCTAAATATAAATTGGGCTATACTCAAGAACTTTAAAGCAGTTTAACTGTCTCATAGTATGTATATTTTCTTACTCAATATTTTCTAATATCCATTTGGATATAAGCTATAGCTTCCCTATTACCGATCACTTCCATCTAGCTTTCTTTTCCAGTTTCTTCGAGGAAACCACACTGTCTATACTACTGTTAATTTTAAGGAAGGGGGTAATAGCGATACACTTATTATTATTAAGCCGTATTCTATCAGGAACATAGACTATTTACATAGAATCGCCAGGTATTTCTGTTCACTGCTAAATATCTTTATTTATTAAATAAAGATATTTAGATATTTAGTTTCATGCTGGATGGTTCTTCTCCAAGTAATCCGAAGCCTGACAGATTCAAATATTTGATTTTTGAGGTTACGTCGGATACTGTCAAATATTCATTATCAGTGGTCTGTAGAAGAATTCATGGGCTTAATTGTCCGCTTGCCATGTCGAATTTAAGCCGTTGACTTTTTCTATTTCACATATCGCAGTTAAAATTTGTGTCTGAACTTCGATGCATTTAATTGAAATTCAAATCAAATCTGAACTTAAGGTTTGATATATATCGTATTTCCTATATATATTTCTTTTTAAATTTAGTAGTAGACAACATTCAAGCCATGCTTTCAGTTCAATAATTAATTTGATGTTAATATATTTATGTAAATATTTCCTTTATAATAGCCATTTTCATATATAAAGTGATATATATATATAGTTTTAAGTCCTTTTTTTTACAGTTAACCCCTGTTTAACCCCTGTGGTTAATTTAAATAAGTTATTTATTACACATCATTAACAATTCAATTATAAATTTTATGCTCGTCTCTCTTATGAAGAAAAACTAACTTTAAATTTATTTAGTTTTGGTCAAAAAACAAAATATTCAATTAACTTTCAAAAACTTCCGTTTTGTCTTTTGTTACAAAAATCCACACAACGAAACCGTAAAGGATGAAAAAAAGGATGAAAGAATTTCAATGCACTGTTGACTGACAAAAGGGTTCAAAATCTGCAGGTTTCAACTATTTCGATTCAAAACTCTGAGGCATTTTTAATTACAACAAAAAAGTGTTTGTAGTTTTACTGAGCTGAGCATTTAGCTTTGAAGTTACTGCAATGAGACATGTGTCAGTTCAGATACATGCAGCACATGCAACATTAACCCTTTTACAAACGCACTCCAAAATTTGGCAGGAGTAAGTAGGTCAGTTCTTGGATACGTAAACGGTGGTGAGTTGGATTGTGCTTTGTTGGCTGTTAGAAGTAGTGCGTGATTTTGTGTTTTCATTTAAAATTAATTACTTTATTTTATTTCTACTCTTTGCATATGTAAAGACCTCAGACTAATTTACTTTCGAATGGAATAAATCCATTCGAACTTTATTTAAAACTAACAATATCATTAAAAATACAAACAGACAAAACAAATACCTAACTAACTCGTTCACTTAACACATTTCCCTCCGGGGCAAATCTATTTCATGTATCAAATTCGCCTCATAGTTTGCGATTTACCAACATGTTTCCGCTATTGTTTGCTTTTGTTGGTTGTTGCCGTTCTTCGTCGTATCGGAAGATGCAGTGACTTTCTTGCTTTTGTAGTTTTCTATCCAGCGCTGGAGGAATGGTGACAGCAGACTGGTGTCGATATCTGTCAGTTTATTTGGGCCTGAGATGAAACTGATGACAATTGCAATGACAATAGTCAAAATAGCACCCAGCATTGTGTAGAATAGGTAGGAGATATTATAAATATGAAATTCCTTGTGGCTGTTATATAAAATTATAATTATCATAAAATTATGCTAATATTAATAGTATTGAATAATAAATACCTGTTACTTTCTTCTAATATTTCTGTTGCATTTTCAGCCAGCATACTCATTGGTGTGAAATCCATGAAAGTATAATTGCAACCCAGAGTTGTATGTGGCTTTCTTGCATATACCATTGCGCCTGATGCTATATCAGATTGAGCACTTATTGCCATCCAAGCCATAAATATCAGACTGGTGATACCACCAATTAAGGCACCCTGTAAATGGAAAACAAATTTACTCTTTAAATAAAAACATTGTATGTAAAATAATTGCATACTTTGCTCTCCACCCATGGCACCAAAACACCAGCTGTGAATATACCAAGTAGTGGTCCATTTGCTACAGACGATAGTGTTATAGTTAATTGTAATACAGCACCCAGTTTTTCTACCACAATCACTAGAGCCACGCAAATAACACCAAAGAGCACAACTACTGAACGCATAATGTAAGCTGTTGCCCGCTCTGAGAGTGTTTTCTTATAAAATGATTTCACGAAGTCTTCCAACACTACAGCAGACATTGAATTCAGACCAGTTGACAGAGATGACAGTGCAGCACTGAAAACTCCTGCTACAAAGAGGCCAGGTAAGCCAGGGTATTCTCCTAGAGTTTCCATAACAAGTAAAGGCAGCAGTTGATCCTTACGTTCAGCGAGCTGTGATTTCATTTGTTAAGAATTGTTGCAGAATGTTATTACAAAAAGTTAGAAAATGATATATGTGATATATATGTATATTTGTTTAGACTAAAGTTAAATCAATTGTATAGTGTTTATGTATTAAACTCCTTACGATATAATATATAAAATAAAATATAATATCTTTAAAAAAAATCTGTGTCATCTGATATGCAAATAATAATCTAAATCCAGTCTGTGTGATTTGAAAGTCTATGAAGTACGTTAATATAATATTAACTTCCGCTAGTTATTCTTATTCAAGAGTGATTTTCCTGGCCTAACGATTTTGATTTTAAGGAGCAGGGTATGTGCAGCGCAAATTAAATAGTTTTTTTTTTGATATTATGAAGTATAATCGTTGTGGCTCACCAATAGGCTGGAATCCAGTAACTACTGCCGTCACTTTGGAGAGATCTTTTCTATTTCTGTAGTATTTGGTTGAGATTGTAATGCAGCCAAAGATTCCCATTTGAAAATATTTATCATCAATGGGTCAATTAATCACATTAAGTAGTGTCAACATTGATTTTGAAAGAGTCTTTCACATGCCAGATTATTTTCTCGTCAGTTTAATGGCTGTTGCATTTCATTTCATGTTCTAAAGTCTTGAAACTTAGACCTCTGTCCTGAGACTTTACTTTCCTTTGTTTTACAACTGTTAGGTTGTACAAGTTGAATTTACAACTTGGATCCAGGTTTGGAAGGTGAGTTCATAGGTATTAAAAAGATAACTTGGTCTCCATTTAGTTTAGAGTTACGGTTTTGTGTAATAATGATAGATTTTTTAGGTTTTGCTTTTTTTTGAAATTTGATTAATTGTTAAGATTCATTCAGTATAGTGTTTATATTACAATACCATAAACCAAGTTGTTTTATATAGGTTCAATTTATGATTCATGTATTCCTCATCTATTCACAGGATTAACATATTGTTTATATTAACTTATCGTAATTCACACAGTTTTTGTTTCTAGTTATATATGAAACTATGATAAATTGAACAAAGTAGTTACAACAGCACTATAAAGATAATAAGTAGCCCTTTTCTTAATTATCATTTTTATGTGGTTAAAGAAGTTTCCATTATTCATTAATAAATGAAAGATTTTAATATGATGTGTATTCGATTACAAAGCTCTAAGAGTAGAAACCTCAAAAATATATATCAATAGGTCCATTCAATATAATTATAAAGAAGCTACAAAAATACTCTTTGTTGAAAGCTGGGAAAATAAAAACTGCACTGTTTTGTTTTTGTATTGTTGAGTCTTTTGAGTTAACATTTAAAACCAAAACATTTCTGAAAAAAATGTCCTCTTTAGAGAAGTTAAAACAAAAATTGTAGTCAGATCTTCGATAAACCGGTAGCCAATTTTTACTGCTGTTATTTTAAAGAGATCCTTCCATTTTTGTTTATTAGTGCTGGCGATACTTCTTTTTCTTTAGAGCAGGGAGATATTGTATCAGTCGTTTCGGGTGGTTAATCTTTTTTTGCTTTGCTCTAATAAGTAGGACGTTCTAAAGATTGACCACAATATCCGGATTGCAGCTTGTCTATCCAATAGTATGACAACATTATTTTTGATTGTGTGATATACGTCTTACAACCCTGACCGACTGGAAACACTTCTGCTTGGTAAATGCTAGACGAGTTGGGAGGCGTATAGACTTTGTAATGTTTAACTTTATTTAATTTTGGAGTCAACCGGTGAGATTGAAATGTTGAAATCGTTAAGCAAATAATTTATTTTCTGATTTTTCCGCTTTCATACCTATCGGCTGATGTCATATTATAAATTCTTAATATAGGATGCTTTGTCTAACTTTTTTTTATTACATTTTCAAAAGCATAAAAATGGAATATGCTTACCTTGGTCATTAGTGGATCACAGTCATGATAGGTGGCGTAGATAAGCAAGCCACTGTAGCCGCATACTAACATAAATATGAGTACTCCAAAAATGAAAGTCCATACAGAAATGCGAGCCTTTTTTAAAGTTGGTAACGATAAATAACGTTGAATCATATTTTGGCTGATCGCATTTGATTTTAAGAAATGCGCTACTCCACCAATGAATAATGAGTAGACCGTATAACGTTCAGTAAGATCAAATGTAAGGCTGTTATGTATGAAATATATCTGTATTTAAAAAAACTCAATCGAAATAAATAAAAAAGATTTAAACTTACTTAGGAGGTTCAATTCTGCCGCTTTCTTTAGCTCTGGTATACACTACACCAAGACCACCTACATCGATTGTACCTTTGACAATAATTAAAAGCATTGCGCCGAACATGATAAGAGTTTGTACAACATCTGTCCAAACAACAGCCTTTAAACCGCCCTTTGAGAGTTGAAAATAATTTTCTATAGATGATTTTTCTTTTATGAAATACTTAATAAAATAACTTACCACACACGTGTAAAAAATACACACCAGACTAACCAATGGCGTAATCAGATGTACGTTGATACCGGTGGCTTGATTAAATGCCAGTGCGGGTACATATATCACAATTGGCAGCCATAACAACTATGGACAGACAGACATTTTTGTCTATAAATTAGAAATCACAAAAAGAAAAAAAATATGCTTGGCAAAAACTGATCTCACGTAGTTGGTAGACAATATAAAGCACCCTAAAAACACGAAACTCACCGATCCGAATATGAAGAGCACTGACCCGAACAGGCGCACACAATTATTGTAACGTGTTTCTAAATATTGATAGGTTGATATTAACTTAAGATTGTGGAATACTGGTAGGAACAAATAATACATAACGAAACCCATCAGAACCAATGAACCCATTATGTACATATATTGGATGCCAAATAAATAGACTTCAGTTGGGGTGCCAAGCAATGTTATGCCTGATATGTAGCTGTGGTAAAAATATTGGTTTAATTTTAGTTCAATATACATAAAAAGATAAAAAATAAATTTTATTGTATAATATTTTTTTTATAAGTAATAACTAATAAACTAAAAATAAAATATATATTATAAAATAGATTTATATTGTAATATAATGGCTTGTATATTGGCTGTATACTGTTTCACAAATGCTATTATTCAAACAGGGTACGAATACCCTGAGTACTTCCAATCTGAAAAATATTATTTATGAATAATTAAATACAATAAATAATGATGGGTAATTGGCAATACTCAAAACAGCTGTATGGTCAGTCAAAAATTCAATTAATTAAAATAATATAAAAATAATTTTTGTTGTTGCAGTTCACTACTTTTCGAAACTTCTCTTGCAACTATTAATATTATTATTTTAATTATAATATTTTTACATTAGTTATACATAATTTCCATATAAAATTATTAAAAAGTTATTGTTCAAAACAAAATTAATACATATACACAACAAGTTCTTATAGTCTGTTTTAATATATTAACATAGAAGGTTTTTGGTTAGTAACCTATATGTGAACCAAATATACTATGTAAATAAGTTTTAATATTATACCTAATGTGTAAATACAAACTAATTATAGTAACACAGAAAAGATATATCCTTTTGTAATAGATTTCAAAATTTTTTTAATTAACTGATTCATGAGTTTTTTTACTATTTTATGTTTTTTTAAATGCAGAAATGTTGCATTGGAATTTCCGTTCATGGGATTCCAAATTGGATTTCACTTCATTAGAAAACATATTTGTTGCCTTATTTTATAACAAACATTTAAAGATAAAAACCTATTTATAAAAACCTAAATCTTTGTAATTATCAAGAAAACTTAATTATATCGTCTTATCTTTAATAGAAAAGTTTAGAAACAGTTGCAACTATTATGAAACTAATAATTAAAAATTTCTCATTTGCATATCTTCGATTTTATATTAACGTATTGATAGGGAATATAACTGCTTCTGGAAAATCTGTTAATATTGAAATATTAATCATCATTTTGTTACTGCAAAAACTAAATTAAAAAATCCCAAATTCATAATAAAAAATTCTTTTTATTACACTTTTCTAATTAAGAATTTGGAAAATTCACTTATTTAGATATGATTATATAAATTTCAATTATTAAAAATTAATAAAATTTCTTAATGTTTTCTATAAATATTTTAAAAGTATTTTTAATTATTCATTAAGCCCGGATAACACTTTTTGAAAAGAAATGTGGATATAATTAAATATTAATTAATATTTATTTCTATCGCTTATTCAGAATCTATTCGATTACTTTCCATTATCGGGAATGTATGTATTGTGATAGTTGCTAAAATAACAATATGAAAATTGATACTACTATATATATGTGTTAAAATATTAATATAATGTAATATAATAATATACTTATATATATATTTAATATATGTATTAATATTTAATAATATTGATATGAATCATATATAATATATAATTTTGATGAATATTGACGGATAAAATTATTATTGGTAAGTTGATATGCATAAATATAATAATAAATAATACATATAATAATTACTACATATTTCTATATATATATACAGTATCAAGCTTGTAACATTAAATTTTTAATGCAAACTCTCCTTTATTCAGAATCTATTCGTATCTGCTATTTTTGATATACAGATATCAAGGGTATATAAAATAGCATGTAATCGAATAGATTCTGAATAAATGATTGTTTAATCAAAAACTTGATGTTACAAAGAAAAATATTAAATAAATGGATTTAAAAAGAGTGAACATCCGCTTTTAAAACCTATATTTTAAAAAATCTGGAGCACGTATAAAATATATTAAGAAAGTTCTCTATACATTTCATTCTATTCGAATACATTAGTACATAAAATATGTTATGCGTACTAAATGAATATATATATATATTATATGTTGCTGTGTTGAAATAAGTATTTAAAATGAAATATTAAAATATATTTGTAAATGATAATTCACAAACTATGTATATGTGGTTGCTAGAAATTTTTATCAGAAGTGAGCAGTATCAAATCGTTGTTTTCTAATATGATCACGAACTTCAATAACAATGAAGTATTTTTGTTTTATTTTTTTTTTAATTATTTTGCTTCTTATTTAATATTCTAAGAATTAACTTAGACCTAACAATATTTTATCGCTAATTATAGTAGTAGAAGAAAGAAAATTATAATTCTAATAGTAATAGATAATTAATTCTCCTTAGCCGAAGCTTTGTCCAATTCCGTTTTCATATCGTGCGTTATTCTGCAATAGCCGGGTTTATATAGTTCCCTTTGAGTCGCAGGGTTCCAGTGCTTTGAGTGAGTTACTAGCATATGGGTTAAGGTGATTCCTAAGTTTGACTGTGTACTTTTGTCTGTTGCTGACAATTACATCTTTGACTGTGTTAATTCAAAGATCTCTATGAGTATTCGTATTTCAATATAACCGGGGTCACCGACTATTTGCCGAACGATTGAAATATATACTTATAACACTGAAATATATTCTTATTTATTTACAAAAAATAGAAAAAAAATGATAGCACAATTTAAGTAATTTGCTGAATATTAACTAAAAATTTAGAGTTACTCTGTAGAGGAATATTTAAATAATTACTATTTTTGAATATTTATCTGTGGTTTTTGGAGTTCAACTACATTATAAGCTCCATATTTAGTATATAGTATTTCTAATTGTTAATTATCTATTTAAATGAGTAATTGCTGTAAAGATATCAAATACTCATATAGATCTTATATATAAAATTAACATTGTCAAAATGTTAGTTACCGTACTCCTCCGAAACGGCTTTACCGATTTTTACCAAATTTTATATGCATATTCAGTAGGTCTGAGAATCGGCTACTATCTATTTTTCATACCGCTAAAGTGATTAGGGTGTCCCTATCCAGCAAAAATATCTTTATTGCTTTAACAAAAATTTTTTTATTTTTTTGACATAAATTTTTTTACATTTTTGAATAAGAAAACTTACTATGATATGAAAAGTTGTTGTCTATGAAAATACTGAATTCATAAAACTACCCCCTAATTTCTGCACTATCGTTGATTCACAAAATGCTCTCATTGACCGCGTATTTCCAGATGTATACATACAATATAATAGTACAATAGTACACGATTGGTAATTAAAAAATTGATGAAAAACATTATGATGAAAAACTACTATCTATTTTTCATACCGCTAAAGTGATTAGGGCAAAAATATCCTTATTGCTTTAACAAAAAATTTTTTATTTTTTTGACATAAATTTTGTTTATATTTTTGAAAAAGAAAAATTTTTTCTTAATATTTTATGTAACTACGCCAACAAGTACATCGAGCATTTACATCCACTTCGTTCTTCGTCTTCGCCTTGCATGGCAGATGAAAAATGTACTAAAAATTTTTCTAAAGATTTCACTAATGATACTATAACAAATACCGACGGATATCCAATATATCGTCGAAGAAATCCCGATAATGGGGAACAATGGCGGGTGGTGCCGTATTCGCCTCTGCTAAGCAAAACATACAATGCTCATATGTTTAATGTTGAGTTTTGCAGTTCTGTGAAGTGCATCAAATATATAAGTATGGCCATAAAGGCAGTGATATGGCTGTGTTTAGAGTAGAAAATACTAATGTAAATGCTCCTCCAATGAACAAAAACGGTGAAATCACGCTCTACCAAATTGGTCGGTACATCAGCTCCAATGAAGCTACTTATTGTATCTTCGGTTTTCTAATTCATGAACGGGATCCAGCAGCTGCTCAGTTAGCCGTCCATCTTGAAAACGGTCAGCGTGTATTTTTCACGAACGAGAAAGTGATTGATCGTGGTACAAATCCACCTAAATCTACACTCACTGCATTTTTTGAATTGTGTAATAGTACGGATGATTTTGGTGCCTTTGCAAGAACATTACTCTATTCACAAGTACCACGCTATTTTACATGGCTCAACAAAAAATGGTGCCCGAAGCAAGTATTCACCATTGATGCATGTCTCAATTTATTTAAATCGAACGCTTATTGACAGTTAATCCAAGACACACTGAGTGCTTTTATCTTCGACTGTTGTTGGTTAATGTTACTGGCCCATTATAATTATTATTATTTACAGTCAATCCAAGTCAATTTAAATTTGAAGATACAACAGTTGTTGCCAGGGAACTTGGTATCATACAAATCTATTGATTTCAAATTAATAATTTAATAAATAAACTATAATAACTTAAAAATAATATTGTTTGGCGTTTGTTATTTTTATTTTCCTTTTCGTTCATAGCGCTTCATGCCTATTTCATGCATATACCACATACTTACACACTTATAATAAGTAAGTTACTTTTTGTCTACACTAGAATTTATCTAGAAACTAGAAATATTTTATAAGGCAAAACAACGTTTGTCGGGTTATCTAGTAATATTATAAAATATATTAAAAATTATTTTAAAAGCAATATTTAAAAGTTTCAATATTCTCCATTAAATATTGAATAATACCACAGATTATTTAATACAAAAAATTGACAAAAAATGCATTATAGACAGTTATTATGACATTATACTATAGACAATTGAGTCAACCACTTTTTGTCAGAAATTTTTCAGAAATTTTATTATTTATTAAATTTAAAAATTTAGAAAATGTTAGTGGGTGTTCGCCACAAGTTGAATGTTTTATTTCCTTATAAATAGTCTGGTCACTAATTTAAAACTATTAATTTAATTTTTTTAATGAAATATATGAAATAAATTGTCTTAAGAATGTGTAATGATGAATAAAAATAAAAAAAGTTAAATAAACGTGAAAAATAAAAACTGTCTTTTTAAAGATTTTATTTTGAAGATATTTAATATATTATATAATATATAATATATAATCATATATGTTTTCATAAAGTTCACAATATTGTTGAATTATTACATTTGTATGTTA